GGTGTCTAAATAGAGTTAATACGGACAACTTATTAAATAACAATTAATATTAATCTCATAAATGGTCCCTTTAACTTTATCGTCAACCTCATATTGGTATTTGATTTTAAAATGTTTAAATTTAATCATGATCTATTAATTTATTTTAGTATTAATCATTTTAATCAAGCAAGTGTTAAGAAAAAGAGAGAATATACATGTAACGCTTACAAAAATAACTATAGAACATAAAATATGCATGTGATTTTGACTCAAAAAATATAAGTATAATAATTAACTGAATATCATTCATATTTTTTCTTTTTTTTCCTTAAAATGGATATATATTTTTCAAAATATGAAAAGGCATTATAGACACAAATCCATACATATAGCCTCCACTATAAGAAACACGACAACACAGACTGATTTCACCAGTAAACTCAAATGAAGTTCAATGAAAAAATAGTATATATCGCCTATCACAAATAGAAATCACCTAAAAAAGTACACAAAAATTCAAGCACACACATGATTCCCTAACAGATCCTCGACAATTGATGAAACCAATCTGATAAACCAATATTGAGAAATGCATACTATGAAGGCTAGATAAAAATCTAAAAAAAAAAAAAAAAAAAAAAACCATATCATGTAGACGAAAGAACAACGGCAAACACTATAAGTAAATAAAACAATAATTTAAACAAATCAGGGTGAACACCGTTATTACAGAACGAAAAAGCAAAAAAAAAAAAAAAAAAAAAAAAAAAAAAAAAAAAAAAAAAAAAAAAAAACCGTAATTAGAATATCACCAACGATACATATATATATATATATACATATTTTCCTGTGTTCAACGCCTAATTGATGAAAATATTTAAAACCAAGATGAATCAATCCTTCGTTCACTTCACGAATTTGAGTTTTCAATTCGAGTTGAGATGTAACATTTTCTGAAAATTTTTCACTGTAATAGAAAAGTTTAATATGACATTTTCTGAGAATTTTTTACTGTAAAAACCTAAAATTAAAAACTTAAATCGGTAAAATAAACGAAGTCTATATATGGTTGAGTTTGAAACATAAAAGTAAGAACTAAATTGTGATTGATAGGTAGGAATGAGCATCGTGTAGAACGGGGTCGAGTACGCTTTACGTATCCTTGCCTCTGCTTCTATTGTCCCTCATACCCACCCTGTACTTGTGTATTTGGAGTTAGGGTTGGGGTCTGAAAATCCCCATCAAAGATGCTTTTTTTATTTTTTATTTTTATCTTATCCATTTATCCAATAAGAAAATTAAATATTGCGTCGTTATCTCATAAGAACATAGCAAGGTTTCAAAAAAAAAATCTGAGCTCTAAAAATAATTAATCAAGTCTAGAAACCATATGAAACTAAATTCTAAAAATTCAATCCAACTTCATTGCTTGCTTATTCTTCTTGGGCATTATAATTCACAAAACTTAGAGCCTGTAACAATAAATGACAAGAAATAATTTTTCAATTCAGTTTAATTCATTACTAGCAATAAGCGTGAAAAAATGCACTAATATTAAGATGGTAAAATAATAAAATACTTTACAACTTTTTAAAAACCCATATTTTTAAGTACTAAAATGTAATATATTAATATTAAAAAATATTTTTATAAATATATGTATATGTACATCCGGCGGGGGGCAGAGTAAGAGGTACTTTCTCCGACATGCTTCTGATTCAGAGGACAGTCTAACCCTGTACCCGCTTCCATTTCTATTCGTGGATAAAGCCTAACACCTTTTTTGTTTTATATATATAAAAACAGGCGTACGATGACAATAGTACATCCCGTTCACCGATGAATTATCTCTCTTACTGGTTCATAAGTAAGAAGCAAAACGGGTTTTCTTTTTCGAATTGTCACCAATTAAATTTCCTCTCTCTCCTTCCTAGAGATATACTAGTTGCCATCATTATTCATACACATCATTACCTGAGAGCTACTAGACTTCAAGGTGAACAAGACGTGGCCGAAAACTTGTGCCCCAAGAAATATCACAAAAGATTTTAGACAGTTGCTTTATCACTCCAACATCACGCGCCTGCCCTCATGTTGAGTGTTTTCTGGCGGTATGAATAGAAATTTTCAGATAGGCTGGGCCAATTCTGAATTTTATAAGGCTATTTTTAAAAATATTTTTTAAAAGAGGAGCTTGGTCTGAATAGGTTGAGCCCGTTTGGTTAATAAATTAAAATTATAAGATTATAATTAATTTTTATTTATGTATATTTTTTATGAGAAAAAATATTGTAACGAATCATGAATCATGATTCGAATCAGATAACGAATCTTAAAATTATAAGATTATAATTAATTTTTATTTATGTATATTTTTTATGAAAAAAAATATTGTAACGAATCATGAATCATGATTCGAATCAGATAACGAATATTCCAACCAAACGAGCTAGATACTATTTAACTTGACTCAACTTTGTAGCTCTATTTACCTTCTTGACATATAAGAACAAAAAACATGCTTTGTGTAGCTGCAAATATATGACTTGTTCATTTATATTTTTTGAGTTAGAGTAATTTGAGTTTAGATATTGATTTGAGTTAAGGTGTATTTTAATATAGTTTGAGTTGTGATTTTAATTTGAATTTGTATTTAGATGTGCACATTTTGAATTGAGAATCTATTTGAGTATGTATTTGAGTGGGTCAAAATTTAAATTTGTACTTGAATAGTATTTTAATAAAAACTCAATAGTGATGAAAAATTTTAATAAGGTATATAGTTGGGGTTTTATTCGTCTATTCACTGTGAACGCAGAGAAAAAAATTATCTCAATCGGAATTAAAACGAAAAAGTTATAGCGTTTTTAAAAATATAAAAAATACTGTTAATTAACTTGAATTTGAGTTTAAGAACTTGAATTGAAGGAGAAACTTGAGTTAATGGTGGAACTTGAACTTAGATTTTAGTCTCAAACTCAAATTAAAACTCAAGTTAAAATTGAAGTTCAAACTCAAATTTTATAAAAAAAATATGAACTTAAATAAAATTATAATTTGAGTTTAAATTTTTTTTGAGCTTGAGTGTAAACAAACAAGTCCTTAATATTTCTATTTCACAACCTTGAAATTGAGATGATGACAAGATTGACAAAGGCATCGCAATGCAGGTTTTCTTTGGTTTTAAAAAAATGTTGTGTGATTATTACGGTCTGTTTATTTCGCTGATTCAAGTTTAGAATTTGAGTTTTATTACAATAAAAAGTTCTCACAAATAATCACATCTAACTTTTTTGTTACATGTAAAAAACTCTCACATAAAATCATATCTCAACTCTAATTAAAAACTCGAATCAACGCACTAAACGAGCCTTACTTCAATGCTTCTACGACTTCTTTGTGGGATATTTTTACGTTAATAAAGCAAGTTTATTCGTCATTTACTTTTTTAATGAACGATCGAATATAATAGGCATCCCTGCAATGGAATTCCCCTTCTTTTTGGCTTTAATCGTTGACTCTTGTAAAGAAATTCTTTACCATTAACGCATTACGTACTCCTTCTGGCCTTCTTCGTAAATAAAGATTGACATTGTTCATTTTACCGATTTGAGTTTTGAGTTTTAAGTTTTTATAATTTAAATTTTTAAAAAATGTCACATCTAATTTTTTCTGAAAAGCTCTCAGAAAATGTTACATATCAGTTCGAATTGAAAACTCAAATCCGCGAAGTAAACGAGGCCATCTAAGCGAAATAAAGATTAAAAACATCCATTATATTCCAATAAACTAGAAAAATAGAAGGTTTTACGTTTTAGCTTATGACTGGTTGAGTGGAAAAGGAAAATGAAGGAATGGAGTAAAAAATCGTTGAATTCTATGGCAGTGAATTCAATGGAGTCAGTTATAGTGATTTAGTTACGATAAAAAAATATACTAGATGTGCTCAATTAGGTGAAACTTTTAAATTAGATCATGCGACTTTAAATTCCCATAGTGTTTTCTATAGTAGCTCGAGGGCTTGGTGTTATATTTTAATCCTCTTAATTTTAAAAAGAAAAGTACTAAATATAAACAATTTAGACATCAGGGACTGTGGGATTAACCCAATATTTTAAGGTAGCACACGGTATTTTCTTTGACTATATTCTAGAATTTCCCAAACACCACAACACAATTACCTCATGACCGCATAAAAGAAAAAAAGAATTTCGTTCTCGCCCTTTGCTGCTGAATGCTTAGCACTATGAGAGGGTCTCATATTTGCTAGATCTTGCAATTTGGAGATTAAATCATTGTGTGTTTTAGAAATTGTGTGTTTTTTTTTTTTTTAAATAAGAAATTTGACATATAAATCATTCAGGAAAAAAAAAAATTGACCTAAATCACATTTATCTCTTTATTATGTATATAAGGATATAATCAATAAATTTATTTTTTCTCTCTCCTTTTCTATCAAGCAGCATGAATATTAAAATGCAAACTCTACTATTCCCTTTTATATTTCCCGGCCATGACATTTTGCAGCCTTCTTGAGGAAATTTTTTTTTTTTTTGAATGAATGAGGTAGTTATTATTTTGAAAGAAATATAATATAATATAAATTTTAAATAAATCATTTTCTCCGTTTAAATTGATAGTCCGTTTAGTTAGTTGATTTAAATTTTTAATTTAAGTTAAAATGTAATTTTATATGAGAATTTTTTATTATAGTAAAAAAATTAAATGTGTTTATTTATATGAGTTTTTTACTGTAATAAAACTCAAACTCGATAAAATGAACAGGTACGAGACTTCCCAACATTCCACGACGACTGAGGCGCACGCGTTTCGGATGCGACTCTTCATTGACAACCACTGACTCCCCCCTCCATAAAACTGCTTCATTCTCTCCCTTGCTTTCGCACTCTGCAAATCCATCACCATTACACTGCTCTCGCAAATCACTTCTCTCTTTCCATTTTCACACGCCAAAAATCTAACCTCCTCAATTTTTCTTCTTCTTCTTCTTCATCGCCATGTCGACTCAGGAAATGACGATTGATCTCGACTTCGACAACGTTCTCGCCCTCGTCACCAGCGATCCCGACATGGTCGACTCCTGGATCTCAGACATCGAGCGCATCCATCACCGCCGCCTCCACCGCCTGGTCGTCGGCCTCGACGTTGAATGGCGCCCTTCCTTCTCCCACCACCGCAACCCCATCGCCATCCTCCAGCTCTGCGTCGGCCGCCGCTGCCTCGTCTTCCAGATCCTCCACGCGCCCTACATCCCCCGCTCGCTCCACGACTTCCTCGGAGACGACAGCTACACCTTCGTCGGCGTCGGGATCCGCAAGGACATCGAGAAGCTTGAGGAGGAGCACGATCTGAGCGTCGAGAAATTCGCCGACGTCAGAATTCTGGCGGCGAACCACTACGGGAACGAGGGATTGAAGAGCGCCGGGATGAAACGACTGGCGGATGTCGTTCTGGACGTGGATATTGAGAAGCCGAGGGAGGTGACGATGAGCGCGTGGGACAATTGGAATTTGTCGTTTCAGCAGATACGGTACGCCGTCACTGACGCTTTTGTGTCGTTTGAGATGGGGAGGGTTTTGGAGGCATGGCAGTAGTACTGCGTACTGTTTGGATTTGGGGATTAATACTACTGCTGTTCCTGATTTAGGGCCTTTTTTTGTGAATGAAGTTGTTATTAGTAGAATATAGTATATAGTAATTCTGATATAGCGTTCTGTATGGTCTTTTGAATGGGAGATTTTCGTCGGAGGCATGGCAGTAGTATTACGTACTGATTGGGGGTTTAGGGCTTTTTGTGAATGAAATTGCTATCAGTAGATCATATAGCATATAGCAGTGCTGATATAGTTTGGTCTTTTGTATGGAGGATTTGACTTTCTAAGACGGTTATGTTTTGAATCTGAATCTTGATGAAGGCACTTTTATATGTTTACAATGCCAATGTTATGTTTGACTCTTGTTTGGAAGACCTTTTTTAGCATGTTTGACGATTGTTTTTTATTATTCTAGTTCTGGGGTTTTTTTTTTTTTGGTTGCATTGCAGTATATATAGTTCTCTTCTTGGCGTTTATGTGCTGTGTAAATAGAAGGAAGTGAAATTGATTTTGATAAGTGTTTGGTGTGTATCACCAGAGGAATTAGATAAGTTTCCCCTGTTTTAACTTTTTCTGATCATATGATTTAAATCTAAAACTTTGATGTAAAACAATGTTTTATTTGAGTACATTTTTCATACTTTGATTAAATTATTATTTTTTTTTACGTATATTGTTAATTTGGAATGGACTTGTGTGTTCCATACTGGGGTTTATGAATTTGGATGGACATAACATGTTTATGAAGTAGTTTATCATTCTAAAGTCTATGAGCACTGCGGTGTACCCCGGAATCGGACGGTGAACCTTTACACCGTAGACTTATTAAGTCTTCGAAATTCGAAGTAGTTGAAGATCTATCTTAAATCTCCGGTGAATTTTTTCTTCATGGGGGTTCTCCCTTCGATCCAATCTTTTTTGTGACCCTTGTCTGGATATGAACTTTGCAACAATGGGATTAGTAGGTGCTTTTGAAGTCTTTTGGCCCTTCATGTCCATTCAAATTAACGAGGATTCATTGAGTTGCATGTTATAAATTAGTGTTAGTCGTGCGTGTTGTTTCCTTTCGAATATCTCTTTGCGTGTTTATAATTCACATTTCTGTATACTTTTTGTTGTTTAATGATAACGTTTTCCCCCTTTTTTTTTTTGTTTTTTCAATAATAATCTTGCTTTACATCTGAAATAATTTCTCATGTTTATTACAGATTATTTTCATGGTGTAACCTTTTTGTTGGCAGCTAATGCATGTTGAATTATTATTGTTATTATTATTATTTGAGTGCATAGTTAGGTATTCATAAAGCAATTTTAGAAATTTTCAAGATATATATTATGGCATGGTTTTGACATTATTGAGCTTCTTGTTTCAAAGCCTGATTTTTTTTTTTTTTCAATTCAAACTACACCCTCTCTCAAAACTAAAAAAAAAAAAAAAAACTTACACGTTCTCTTGCTTTTGTATGGAACTTTATATAAAATAGACGTTTTCGAACAAACAAATTTATTAAAACCAATTTTAAAAGTATTAAATTGGCATTTGTTATTGATATATATTGAGTATTTTATCGAATGATGAAACCAAAGAAGTCCAAAACGTCGTCCTGCTTAAGCTCTTCTTTAATCTGTTTTGTTGATTTGTTTGTGTAGTTGTGTTTTATAATCTATGATCTACAATCTAGAACTATATGTGTAGAAGATACCAATCTCAAATAGTGTTTAGGTTTCAACCAAAATACATGTTTTGGTTGAAGCACTCGTATTATTTTATTATATTTTGTTTTTATTTTTTGGTTTTTTTCCCTTACATTTTTTTTTTTATATAATTTATGTGTTTTATTGAAATACTTTTACGTCGTTCTTTTAATCTGTTTCTATTAAAAAAAAATTTCTCTAATGCTGTCTATATTAATATTCTTTGGGATGAATTACATCAATATACTTCGAGTTTTTAACGTTTTCTTTTCAATCCATGATATTATTTTTAGAAACTATCAAGATATCCGTTGAATTTAAAAGTGCATTTTAATTTTTAGTTTTAGAAACTACCAAGATATTCTTCGAATTTAAAAATGCATTTTAATTTTTTTTTACGTTGCAAGAAAAAACAAAGCAGAAAAACAAAAATAACCTGTCTTAAAAGGAAAAAAAAAATTCAAGAAAGTCTATTAAAATAGTATTATGGGTAACATTTTTTTTTTTTAAATAATGTTTTGTTTTATGATTTTGATGTGCTACGATCCCATACCCTTATTGCAAACTGCCGCCCCTACGACGCTATAATCTATGATCTACAATCTAGAACTATATGTGTAGAAGATACCAATCTCAAATAGTGTTTAGGTTTCAACCAAAATACATGTTTTGGTTGAAGCACTCGTATTATTTTATTATATTTTGTTTTTATTTTTTGGTTTTTTTCCCTTACATTTTTTTTTTATATAATTTATGTGTTTTATTGAAATACTTTTACGTCGTTCTTTTAATCTGTTTCTATTAAAAAAAATTTTCTCTAATGCTGTCTATATTAATATTCTTTGGGATGAATTACATCAATATACTTCGAGTTTTTAACGTTTTCTTTTCAATCCATGATATTATTTTTAGAAACTATCAAGATATCCGTTGAATTTAAAAGTGCATTTTAATTTTTAGTTTTAGAAACTACCAAGATATTCTTCGAATTTAAAAATGCATTTTAATTTTTTTTTACGTTGCAATAAAAAACAAAGTAGAAAAACAAAAATAACCTGTCTTAAAAGGAAAAAAAAATAATTCAAGAAAGTCTATTTTCTTTTAAAAGTATTATGATTTTGATGTGCTACGATCCCATACCCTTATTGCAAACTGCCACCCCTACGAGTCTACGACGCCCCATCAGTCAGACCCCCTTGCCCCCGTCGCACCCTACCCATGCCTTCTGTGTGGCCTGGCTGGGTTCTTTGCTGTAGCTTTTATATGGTTCCCTAGATTGTGATTGTTAATTAATCATATGAGCAGTTTTCATATCCATATACTCGCATGTATATAATTATAGATTTTCCTGACATTTATTTTTAGGTTTTAAATACTATTCTATTATTCCTTTAACATGGTAATATTTGAATATTATTTATATAGCTTTTTTATAAAGATATAAAGCTAAACATTAGTGTTTATATCTCTCATCACTTTTTTGAGGATAATATTACCTTCAACAAACAAGTTTAACCGCATTGTTTTTTATTGAATAACTGAATATAATATAGAATCCCGCCTTTTTTTAGGCGCTCAATGCCTCATGCGAGAGTGGAACACCAGATTTGAACATAACTGCTTAGTGCTGACAGTGTCGCCGAAATAACCGGTGCACGAGGAAGCTAAATATTAAGAGTACATTTAGAATTGGTTTTAAAATAATTTTGTTAGTAAAAATGAGATTTTTTTGATAATCATTTTAGAGCTGATTGTGAAATTGTGTTCGGTTAATTTTTTAAGAGATTGTTCTGAATATAATAAAAAAGTAAAATCATATTTGTTAATTAATATATTATAATATTGTTGATAAGTACTAAAAAATAAAAATAGAAAAGTAAAAATAACTTTCAATTGTTTTCTAATTTTTTCACAAAAATTATTCTCACTGTTTTCGTTTTCATTTTTTCTTTTTAAAACATTTACTAAACGAACGTCGTTTCATTTTTATTTTCATTTTTTACTTATCAAAATACGTCTAAATTGTTTTCAAAAACGGTTCCAAACACGCACTATTGTCAAGAAAGGCGTTAACATCCACTTGACGTAGAGACCACCCTTGACTGATGGTGATACTGAGAACGAGGCGCACGATCGTGGGCTTGACCATCGGATTAAATGTATCATGATAGTCAACTCTTGGGCGTCGATCAAATCTCTTTACAACTCAACGAGCTTTGTACCTGTCAATAGAATTATCGAAGTGTTTTATAGTTCGAAAGATCTACTTTCACCTGGCTGGTAGCTTTTTTTTTTGTTTTTTGTTTTTTTTAAAGTAATAACATTCTTTTCAATGAATCCATTCTTTTTCTTAAAGTGATAATAAACTATTCTAAAAATGTTAAAATAAGGAGCTTTTTTTAGAGGCAAATAAGGCTCTTTTTATTGTACTTTGACTGCGTATTCTGATTTAGACAAACAATGTTTCAGAGGGTTTTTAATTTTCTTTGTTTTTTTTTAGTGTTTTTGAACGGAAAATAAAAAATAGATTTGATCAAAAGAAACGACTCCGTTCTGTCTGATACCAATTAACGTATGATAGATAGAAAGGAAGAGCAAGAGGGCGAAACAAAAGAAGAGGAGACAGAAGAAAGCGATGGAAAAGAATCTAGATGGATGAATTAGAGAGAAGAAGAAGATAACAATTAAGGGAGAATTTGAGTATTCAATATCATTAATCAAGTCTAAATATAATGATATAAAGGCCTATTTATAGGTATATAAGTCCTAACAGTAATCAAACTCCTAGTACTATTTAATCTTAAATAATCCTAATAGAACTCAAAAAATCCTAATAGATAAACATTAAATAAAATAGCTTTAAAATAACTTTAATTCTAATAGAATTCTAATCGTGTTCTCCATTACATCCGTAGACAATGTTTTTTTTTTTTTTTTTTTTTGCACTAAAGCTAATCAAAATTATGTCAAAATAAATATGTATATATATATATATGTATATATGATAAAACCAATGTGACATAATTATTCTAAACATCAACTGGACGGACCTCGTCATTTTACTAATGTGAGACACCCGTCTAATAAGACTTTATATTATTATTAATATTAATATTATTAATATTAATATTATTAATATTAATATTATTAATATTATTAATATTAATATTATTAATATTATTATTATTAATAATAATATTAATAATAATATTAATAATATTAATAATAATAATAATAATAATAATTATTATTATTATTATTATTATTATTTTTATTATTATTATTATTG